CTTGAATTCTGCACCTTTTAAAAAAAGGTAATCTGGAAAAATAAACATGGAGATAGACCAGAAGGGACCTTACACAGTGCCTTTGGGCTCGGGCGCCCAGTACAGGAACCAATGTTTTGAGCAAAGCAATTGTCTCTTGCTGAGAGAACCTGGTGGCGCAGACAGACCGACAGACCGACGGACAACAGGAGACGATGGGACAGGGGGACAAAGAGAGCTACCAGGAGTGCTGTGCACTTCCTGACCCTGACTTCGTCCCTGCGAGCTCAGACTCAGAAGCCCTGTGTAGGGACATGGAGACAGGCATCACACCGCTCCTCAAACCACTCTAAGGTGCCACATTTGCCCCAGAGTTGATGGAATTCTTACAGGGAGTGAGAGGCCAACCTGCAGGGCAGAGCTTGGGTCCTCCCAGGGGTCTGTAGCTGGGTTGAAGGAGACAGAGGGCTCTTCCTGGGGCACCTTGAACAACTGCCTAGTTCCACAAGGACCTAGAATGTTAGGGGTTGATTTTTTCCCTCCCACAATCCAGGAGTTTATGTGTTTGTTTGTTTGTTTGTTTGTTTAGAAAATTGTGGTAGAGAACTAGGCAAGATGACACATGCCTATAATCCTAGCACTCTGGGAGACTGAGGAAGGAGGATGAAAAATTCCAGCCCACCTTGTGCAACTCAGCAAGACCCTGTCTCAAAATAAAAAAGTGCTTGGCATATAGCTCAGGTGACGACCCTGGGTTCAATCCCCAGTAGGCCCTCAGAAACAAAGAAAGAAAGAAAGAAAGACAAGCAAGCATAGCATAAGTTTTACCATCTTAACCATGTAGAAATCTGTGGTTTAGTAGTGTCGATTCACATTATTTTGCAACTAATTTCTTTTCATCTTACAGAACCAGTTTCATATCCATTGAGCAATAACTCCCCCATTTCCTCCTCCCCTAAGCCGTGGTAACCAGCATTACCCTTCTCTCATCACTGTGAAAGTTGACTGTTTTATGTACTTCACATAAAAGATGGAATCACAGCATTTGCCCTTCTGTGGCTGGCTTATTTTGCTCAGCATAACGTTCTCAAGGTCCATCCAGGCTGTAGCATGGGTCAAAACCATCATTTAATTCTTCTTCTGGACTATGAACTAGTTCAAGACTCAGTCCATCTCTCTTCTTCATAACTTATCTTCAGGAAAATTACCACACTGAGAAAAATTTAAAAAGAAAATGAAAGCTTCTACTGAAAATGCTTCAAAGCTGGGTGAAGTGGCTTCTGCGTGTAATCCTAGCACTCTGGAGGCTGAGGCAGAAAACGTCCAAGTTGGAGGCCAGCCTGGGTTACACGGTGAGATCTGGTTTCAAGAAAGAAAAAGAAAGGAAAGAAAAGGAAAGGAGAAAGGAAATCGAGCAAGCAAGAAGAAAGAAGGACAAAAGAAAGAATGCAAGGAAAGAAGGAAGGGAGTGAGAAAAAGAAAGACAATACTTTTGAGCGACTCTGAAGGTTTTCTCCCCAACTCAGAAGCTGTCAATATTAGTAGATGCCATAGCAGATGGCACATAGAGGGTCTGTGACATGGGCAGTGAAAACATTTACCAAGAGGCAAGGAATACAGGAAAGACAAGAATTTATTTAGATCACTGAGTATACTGTGAAGAAAGACAGGGCAAATTTCCAAGAGAGGACTCTCGAGGTCAGGGCGAGAGACTGGGGTTTTTATAAGGGAATGAAGACATGGGAAAGGGTCTGAGTCGGCAGATGTAGATACCTTCAGGAATGTCTGTTCCAGGGGATCCTGCTTGATACTAACTTTTCAGGAGTGCTTGCACTGTAACTTAAGTGTTACATCAAAGCTGCAAACTTACAAGGCTTTTCATTTAGGCCTCAAAAGAGGCTCTTTAGATTTACCTGTTCGTTTTAACCTTTGGGGGAAAGATATAACATTAGCTCAGGGAAAAAAAGGGTGATTTTCATATTACTTTTGTGCTATATTCAGTCCTCATTATTTCAGTGTTTTCTGAGTGTCCAACACGTGCCGGGCAGAAGCACGTTATCGAAGAAGCCTGGCTGCTGAGAACTTGAATAACTCTTTTGTCACCACAGTAGGTCGTATGTAAAACAGAAAAACATGACTCCAGTGGAAGGGCAACATTGGAATGGAAAATGTGAAATGAATGAGAAGCGTGAGAACAAGTTTATTTGGGAATAGCACGCAAGAAACGCCAAAGCGAAGACACCCCATCTCGCCACCCCCAACTAGGATGAAACGCAGGTCTTCACATGTGCGCTCACTGCTGAAGCGCATCCGCAGCCCCAAAGACTTCCCGCCAACCAGGGGGAAGCGGATGGGAATGAACATTTAGGAACACAGGCGTCCATGTCCACTGGCCGCCCGGTTGCCCCTTATGGTCTTTAGCAAGCCTCACTAACTTCCTTCACGTTGATGGCTTCCGTCAAGAAGTCACACACAGGCCGGGGATATAGCTCAGCAGCACAAGTGCCTACCTGGCAAGCACAAGGTCCTGAGTTTGACTCCCAGTACCAAAAAAAAAAAAAAAAAAA